GCGTCGGGCTCTGTGCTGACAGCTCAGAGCCTAGAGCCTGGAGCTGCTTTGCATTCAATGTCTCTCTCTCTCTCTCTCTCTATCTGCCCCTCCCCTCCCCTGCTTGCTCTCTCTTTCTCGAAAATAAACATTCTTTTAAAAAACCACTTGATTAAATAAATAAAACTTTTAAAAGTTTATATATTTTGAGACAGCATGAGTGGGGGAGGGGCAAAGAGAGAGGGAGAGAGAATCTCAAACAGGCTCTCCACGCTGTCAGTGTAGAGCCTGACTCGGAGCTCGATCTCACGAACCGTGAGATCATGACCTGAACTGAAATCAACAGTTGGACGCTCAATCAACTGAGCCACCCAGGCGCCCCCAGATATTCCTGACCTCCTCATCTGCGCCAAATCAAAACTTACCCGCTGCAACTTTCCACGTCTCACAGTCCTGCTAAGACTGGGTGGCCGGTCTGAGAACTGAATAGTTGGGTGCTAATCAATGACAATGACTTAAGGTGCCCACACTTGCGTTTTGCAAAGATCTTCAATGCCTTCATACAAAAGCGGAAATGGAGGCAAACTGCAAGCCGCTGGAGGACGGTATTTTTGGAACAGAGCCCTTTCACGCCTCTCAGTTCATAGCTTATGTGCATGAAGATGATTCAGAGCACATATATTTTTATGCAGTTTTCGACAGAATTAAATATATAACATGACAGCAACAAATTCACTGCCCAGACACGATCAGAACATTTCAAGTTGTTGGTTTGTACTCATCCATTTATCAATTAACCCTCAGACTGCCAGTCAATCAGAAATCTAGTTACACAACCCAGGGGAGGCCACGAGTTCCTTAAATTTCCTATTTTGCAATGTTATCAGAAAACACAGGCCAAGTCTGCCCTCTGCTTTCTTCTTTATCATTCTCACATTTGTCTCGAATTCAAATAGGACAGGGCGCTGTCCCGAATCGGAACATAATAGTCTGGTGGTAATTTCCAAGTTCTGTGTGGTTTTTTCAGTCTCCTGACCTTCATCTACAATGGAAAACTTTATCATATATAGTTCAGAAAATGCCACCTAGTATTAAAGACCTGCTGACATTTGTTACCAATGCGGAGTTAATGGGCGGTTACCCAGCCCCAAAATACCATCGAGAGTTGACTAGAATCGCCTAATAAATCCAGGACAACTGGTCAGAAAAGTGAAGATTCTGTCCTTGCCCCCTTTTTTTTTGCTCATTGCTTACGTTCTTACACTACTCACAGCAAGATAAATGTTTTTGCACAAAGTTCTTACGTTACATAAAAACCAATGTAACATTTTTATGATGATAAACACAGAAAATAAAACCGCTCGATCTTATCCTGCCACCGTGTTTCTCAAGAAGCACGTTTAGAGTAGAAAGAGCAGAGTCGATACAACCATGAGAGAACTCAAGGCCAAGACTGGGGAGGACACACAGACAAAGAACAGCACATGCTTCTCCTAAGCTACATGGGGGGTTAAGGGACGCTGAGAAAACTCATGAACAGAACTGCTAACCTACAGTACAGTTTAAGAAATGTGCAAAGTACATCATATCTGAATTTTCAGAATGGGACGAAGCTGGACAGTTTAAAACTCTTTCAGCGAGTTGGTGATCATGAACAAAATTCTAGATCGGTCTGGTAATATTATTCACAAGTACGAGTGACCCACACCTTTTCTCTTGTGAGAAGGTTATTGGGAAAGCCATGGGGATGCTGGAAAGAGTAACATCAGGCACAATTTATGAAGTCCCAAGCACCTCCATACAAACTCTGCTTACCACCACTCAATGGAAACTCTAGAAAAAGTGAATTAAACTGGGACAAGGCATCTGGCGAAGACTTTCATTTCTTTGTGACTAAGAACAAGACAGCAAAATGGAAAATGGATGGACATAAAGATGGGCGGACTTACAATGGGTTTAATCACACCCCAAAAGGACTGCGTAATGAACCTGAGAAAACCTAGAACGGTCTCTCATAGCCTTTCAAAGGTTCATCCTTAGTTGGCTCTTTCCAGCCTTTACATCAAATTTGAGAATGAACAGATGGAATGTGGAGTCAAGATTAAAAAATCACTTGACAGAATGGGGTGGTGAGTCACACACAGCAAAATGAAATGTAATGGAAAGGAATGGAAAGATGTGCACTAAAACAAAGCCTCAAGCTAGAAGATGAGAAGCATGGTTCAACACCAACATGGGGGAAGAACTCGGTTAAATAAAGTCGGTGTGACAAGGTACGTGACAAGCACAGACAAGGGGAGCTAACCCCACGCCACCCCAACTCTGATCCTATGCGCAGAACTCTATTAAACCCTCTGCCTCCTCTGAAAGGTAGTATCTATGCCATGGAGCACTCAAGGAGAAAGAAACCAGACAGACTGGCAGAGATTTTAGAAATAAAGTCACAGGTCCTACAAAGAACAGCTGAAGGACTAAAGGATGCTTCACTTTCAAATGTAAACAGTCGATGTATGGCGGGGGGGGGGGGGGGGGGGGGGGGG